GTTGCTGTTCCGCGTCAACAGGCTCGGGCGGGAACAACCTGAACTGTGTCAAGTTCAATAAACGGCTGCTCAGGCCAATCGACACAGAAGTTAGAATGCGAGTGTCCACCTGTCCCTGCGTTTCAGTTCTCTGGTCGTGTGCATGCGGGGATGATATTAAAGCTTTAAGGCCTTCGAATGTGTCAAGACATGAACTCGCCGTCTCCAAAGACTCGGGCAGATAGTGCAATTGTAGTTTGATCTTCTTTTCATTCTAAATCTACCTCTACCTACCAGTAAACGTTTTCGTTCCCAAGAATTTCCTTGTTCCATCTCATACTAGAATTATCAATCAATTTATGGATGCTTCTTCCTCTAAACTTAACTGCTATGAGATAATACGGTAGTTTTGTTAGAATATCGCAAACATTACTACAAGCAAATTTTATTAGCAAAACTAATTTTACTGAAATATAATTACGTGCTTATGTCTAACATGGTTAGATAGTAGGATGTAATTGTAATGTGGGTGATATGGGAAATCAGATCTTGGAGGGCGGAGACACTAGCTTTTCTTGACTTCTTATGCTTAAGCTTCGGTGTAACTATATTAAACTGCTAAATTTATAGCCTCCACAAAACGCCCCATGGAACTCCTTTAATTAAAAAACATTTTTACAATGAAATATCAAATACTCTTCCTGCAATGAACTTAGTCTTCTTTTCTTTTATTTTTGATCTACCTTAGAGAAATCAAGTTGTCTCGATTTTGTTTCGGAAAATCATTTTGGATCCGCTCCTCCTTCAACTATTGAGAATGTTTTTTCTTTCAGTCTAAATAACGTTGATTTTAAAAAAACACAGTCTGAGTATCAAAAAAACAGTACAAGCAGGCATTGGTGTAAATCCCGGGGTGGGGTATATATCCCCCCTTTTTTAAGTGGGAGGATGGGCTCTTGAATCATCCCGCACTCTTTGTGATGAGAAAAATAACTACAGCAGATTTTGAGGGATTTTGTGGACTTTCCAACGACTAAATTGTTTGCAATTTCACTGGAAAGGGAAAAAAATTATAAGAAGTATGCCATTTGACGTAAGATTCCACATGAATTTGATACACATTACAGATGTACATCTTTATTATGAACATCACCCCTATATAGTATCAAGGAGGAAGGACACAGAAGGAGTTGAAACTCTGGCACTTCCAAATGTTCAGACATCGTCGCCGCTGAGTCAGACGAATGATAGAAAACATTCAAAAAATGCCGGATTACTGCGTACATTTTAGCCGGACAAGCGGAGCCAGTTATATCCTAGCAATGCTTGTAGTGTTTTGCTTACAATTATATACAACTTATTGCTTTGACCAGGAAATAGAGAGAGAAAACTCCCCGTTATGAGACCTACTTTTGCCACCCCGAATAAACTTTTTAAAGTTTGATACCCTGTTCCATTATCAATACAAAGTTTGTAATTTTATTCTACTCCATCTGCTACTTCAGTTTTCGAAGACTTGGCACGAATCTGGCTATTAAAAAGACAGGCCAACAAAATGTTGACTACTACAATGGGCTTATTCATCACAGGGAGTAATCATGAAATCTGGTAAAATACGCTTTTGTACAAATGCCATGATAAAAATGATTTAAACAAAACACCAAATCTTGTAAACAATAGGGCTTTTTCCTAAAATAACCTCAGAAGAAAGCGCTCGTTTAGGGCAATGACTGCACATATGCATTTAGGGCATACGGCGTAATGCAAGCAACTGCGCAAGTATTAAATTTGATGTTTATGAGATCATACCAAACACCAACAAATGTATGAATATTCCATTTCCTATACCTCAGTACACAAAGTTTTGAGGATGCAGATTACCAGCGTCAAATTGCTGTGGCGATGGGGGTTTCGTGGGTGTGACACAGATGGTGAGTGGCAAGCTCTCGCTGCGCTCTTGCCACGGACATACCTGGCATGCCAGAAAGTGGTAATTGGCCAGATGTTATAGCCCGGGCAGTTCAAACTCCTTCTGTGTCCTTCCTCTATGATATCACGTATATCAGGGCAAGATTAATATGATTAATAACTGTTAAATAGAATCCAAGCATTGTTAAAAAATAATGTACACGTACCTAGAAAAACTAAAGGTCCTTTAAATTGTGCTTTTTAAATGGAATTGTGCTACTGTGCTTTAAAATGAACTCAAGGACTGTTGGTCTGCATTCTCTTATTCTGAATCTATACCAGAAAAAAATGTTTCACGAATTAGTTCATATCTCTACGCAGCTTCTTCCCAACTATCAAGCAATTAACTTACTATTAAGAACAGTTATAAGACGATAAAGTGGTCTCACACGAATATCGCAAATACAAGTAAAAGTCAATGAAAGATAAAATTGAAATTTAATACATTGTTAATGCTTTAAGTCAAAAACAAAAACATTCAAAACATGTTCCTTAAAAACGAAAACTATAAACACCGTCACCATTGGAGTTTAATGTGGAGGAATTAATACATTTTAATGCATTTAAGCTTGTTTTTACATACAAAATACTTTATGTATAACTGTGCTCAAGTGCCTAACACCTGGAACTACGAAAGTATTATTTCTGCAATTGGACCTCCAAATGAACCCATTAGTCTAAACTTTCAGGAATTGTTTATTTTCGAACCTTTTTCTTGTACTTTTTTAAATTTCAAATTTATCCTCACGTAGATGAATTTGTTTATCTTGATCGCTTTGTATCTTGCCTTACAGTAATTGACATTAAGAACAGTTATAAAAAAGGAAGCAAAAAGTAAAATCAATACTTACAACAGCGGCTTTTGGCATTTTCGGTATTTTAGAGTGCATCTTATATGCTCTAGACACACTTTGGTATGTGTTACTTCATAATAATGTGTTGCTTCTTAATAATAAAACATTCATTTAAGGAACAAAAGCAGTGGCGTTTGCTTCTATTGTACCAAGGTTAAATTAGACAATTCGCAACCACAGTATTGATATGAGAAAGCTGATACCTTTAAGTACTAACAAAACCCAAAAATTCTTGAGAGAAATATCAACTATCTTGATCTAAATAAACGGAAATAGTTCGCGGTACTTATAAAAATACAAGCCTAATTTTCTCTACTTTGATTTACATTTCACCTGCGTTTAAAACACTGCAAATTAACAGCTTGTGCTCAACCAGAAATTGTCACTATTTTAAAGACTACTTGAAATGACTCTTTTTTTTCATGATGTGTCAAACTGATACATATGTACTGTGCTCAGCCTTACTGTACTCTTGTACTTACTTGGCTCATTTTCCGTTTGGATTTTTCTTAGATTACGGGCCAGATACCCATTTTATGTTTATGGGGACACACTTCATATTAGGAAACCCCCTTGCGAAATCGAACACGCTCTTGTAGAGGCTCTTGTCGATCTTACGGTCAAACGGGAAACCCATAGCACGCTTGTCTGGGTACTTCTTGTCTTTCACACCGCAGTAACTGGTACCCCGATCTAAGTCGTCAGTGCTGCTGTCGCTTGCCCAGTCGGTAACCATGACGAAGAGATCGAACTTCATTCCTTCCGCTGTACCCCTGGGTACCAGCATGTGCTCTGGCCAGCCGCATTCGCAGTACCGATCCGGGCGGCAGCAGTCCTTATCCTGGACTTCCGACTTCTGGAGGACTCTCTTCCTCAATTCTGCGATGGTTAGCTCACGTGGTTTGATCACAGAGGAATCGGCGGAGCTGCGTGTAATGGTGTTCATTCCATTTTTTTCCACTGTGGATCAACAAAGTTTACTTAGCTCAGCAATGCTTTGCTACGTCCCCTGTGCTTTGGGTAGGGCAAATGCCTTTTACAAACTCGTATGAAGGATGTACATTTATTGCACGAAGCATTATAGGCCACTTGCCAAATCTTAAACGCGCCCAAGTACACTCAGTGTATCTGTCATGCGCTCTCGGATGTTTTTACCCGTATTACTGTTCAAATGAACTCCTATGAGACCTCGCCAAAATACGTTGTGCATTTGCCTTTCGTAAGGCCAATGGACTGTCCACTGCGCATGTGGAGAATCAGTAGCGTGCTTCTCACTAGCCTTGCCCCGAGACTGGTTTTGCTGTTTTGGCCAGTAGACGGTGCAAGCGACATGCGCTGGCGAGCACGCCGAATAGCACTAGAGGGCGCTTTATTCACAAGAAACGACCAGCCAGAAGACCAGTCTTATAGAATCTGGCAGGCTTACCTGAAAAATTTCACCTGAAAAAAAATTTGTATTCGCCTTTGAACGAAGATAAAAAAAAATAGCAGTAAAACTAAGCGCTCATTTCTGAATGTAGCCGCCCGCCTCTATCCAAAATAGGTCCACAATTTGGGGCTTTTAGTGAAAGAAATACGCGAACTGGAAACTATCAGTCCCAAATTTGGGATTTATAGAAATATTTCTATGGTACTTCCTGATTATGGCCTGTTTTATTGTAAAAACCCCGCGGGATCACAAAATATTAATGAGCTCGAGCGCAGAAATACAACCATTGTTGGAATGCACCCTGACAGGTCGTCTCTTGTGAGCATAGCGCCCTCTACTGGTACTGTGCTCGCCAGCGCATGTCGCCAGCACAGTGCATGCACCGGCCAAACTGTAAAACCAGTCGTGGGACAAGCTTTTCACCAGCTCCATGTTACATGTAACAGCCGCACATGCCCAACCTCGACTCTATGGGCTGCGTGCGCGTTCCTTCACTAGAACAAGTGTGGCGGGGAAAGATCTTACCAATGAGAACGAGTTAATTTTGGATGTTTTTTTTCCTTTTTCCCTGCTCAAACGTGAATATTTACACACTGTATACTCAGTGTATACCCTGAAGGCTTGTGAAAAACAAACCAAAAGGGAACTCGGGTGGGACTCAAACCCACGACCTCCTGCTTACTAGTGGAGACGTCTTAACCACTCGGCCACCGAGCTTGCCGGTGTCGGCTGGATGGTTCGAATCAGATGTAGCAGCGGGTACCGCGAACAACTATTTCAGAGATGGATTTGCGCCGGGGAGATGCAATTAATTGTGGATTTTTTTCCCTGCCTGACGTGTTATTTTTTTGGGGGGGGGACGAGGTTGGCACATGCCACACGCTCGTGCACACATGTCGTCCTTTTACGTGTGCATAATGCAAGTAAAGCACTAAAGTGGTCGGTCATGCAATCATGAGCCGGGGTTTGAAGCCATTAAAAAAATGGCACTGCAGAATAATCCTTGAACATCTCACTTGAAAGAAAGTTAATAACAGCCTCGATCAATATGTAAAAATATTTCTGCCCAGAATGCTGTTGTTTTCGAGAAAACAGAACAGACATGTTGTTTTCCTTTTTTAACGATGGTCGGCCGACCGTCGGTCGTCAAGCTTCCGAAGTGTGAGTGCGGTAGACTACCACAGCCATGACGTCTCCTCCAATTAGTCTATCAAGGATATTTATTCATGTGATGTTGAGGGTCAGCGTTCAATTTACACAGATGCGTGCGAAATCTCAACGTTCAGGCATAATGGAATAGTTGCTTATGGAAATTCAAAGATTAGAAATAAAAAGCGCTTCCACGAACATAATACGTTTTCTGAATGCCTCTGCCCATAATGTTAGGTCATGTAAAAAAAACACTCTACGGCCAATTCCTACGAACATAATAAAAAGTCATGATTGCGGGACATTCCTGTTCGCACGCAGTGGTACACGCGTTTCGTCTCCGGCTGATAGAGTGCCGAGACTTGCCAAATTGCACGCATGGCAGCGTTTAAGTTAAGACTTGTGTGTAGGCCTATGTGAAATAGCCCTGCAGGAATTAGCGTCGCCTCGAATTTGTCTAAGATTGGCTAACCTGTGGTAGGTATTTAAATTAATGAAAGTTTATTAACACAGTTTTTAATAACATTCTTTTTTTATTTGATTTAAGTCACGATGGAAAACGTTGGACTTGGTTTTGACCTCAGACGACCACAATGTTCTACTCACGTGTAGTCACGAACTTGTCCATTTCGATAAACAGACGACGCTGCGTATCCAACAAAAATTGGGCCCCCTCTGCGTCAGAAGATGGAGCCATGAAGATGCGGACGGCTACCCTCATATTTCTCCCGCGCTTGTTTTCAACCCCAATTTTGTAGTTAAAGTTGTCATGGTTGACCTGCTTGACGGTAACCTGATGAAGAAAAGTATAAAGACCCTTTTTAAAGCTTTGTTATGAAAACCACATATAAGCACTCTTCTCTTTTCCCGTCTTTTTTCTTTCTGGTTTCACCAGCCGATCCATGACTTACTGTGGTATGAGCGGGTTGCGCTGCTGGGTGCTCAGAAAACAAGGTTTCGTTTGCAGCGAATTTATTTATTTATTCAAGGGTTGACAAGACGCCATTACAGACCACCTTCTTTTTCCTCCTCTTGCCAAAACTACTTTTTTTTTAATTTGTCTTCAGAAGCCAAAAATCTAAGCCTTTGCAGACAGGTCCCTCCGCTGCATGAAGACAAGTTTAATTTTTAGATTCATTTGCATATGCAGCTGGCTACCTTTCGGCAATTAACTTTAACATTAAGAAGACGAGCGCCCTCTGTTGGTCTAATTTGTGAACATTTAGGCAAAATCATAACAAATCGTTTCCCCACATAACTATCAACTCCGTTGTGCCCTCTTAGCGGAGGCCAATAGCCCCGTAGGTGCCACCACATTTACAAGCCAGCCTTTTCGTCAGTTTCGGTGCACACATCCACCCAAAAATGAAACTGTGGAATCTCGGGTTCTCTTGTAATAATTTGCTCCTGCTCTACAATGAAATCCATGTATAAAAACCTCAATATTTAAGAGCCGGATTGATCCTCTAGTCGCGGCGGCGAGATAGTAATTATCTTTTGGAAGTGGCCCTTTACGTTTCCGTGGTATTCTAACAGCGCATGGCCAAAGGGAGCGCGTCCGACGTCAATTGCAATCGGGAAAAGCAATAAAACATCGGCCTTGTCAACCTGGCCATACCCCGACTGACACGACGTGTACCTCCGAGCCTTGCCTTTTCGAAATACATCCACCAAATCGGTTACAAAATTGCAAGGTAATCATAAAGACTTACTTTGGCCTCAGTATTGGGCTTGTCACCTTGACGTAGGAACATGTCATTCGCGATGTCCACCTCTACATTCTCCATGCGAGTCGTCAGAATATCGGCCGGTCCCTACGAGTGAAGAAATAAAACTGTGATAGTTTATGGGTTGTATAGAGCTCATAAATGCACGGCATACTTTATCATGGATCAAATGTCTGTCAAATGCTTCTGAATGCTCGCTTTGTTTTATCATTTTAATTTACTGTCATTTTGAGGAAGGTACAGTTCAATTCAGTTACACAAAAATCAAAATACACTAAAGACAATGACAGCATGACGTCACAGAACACAGGATAAACGCACAAATATCAATGACTGCAATATAAAAGGAGTAGAACACGTAGAATGATGCAAACTTGTCGGGGGAAACATTGACCTAAAAGTTAAAATGTTATATATCGGTCTTGCAGTCGAGGCCATCTCAAGACAGGAAAAGAAAAGTAAAAAACGAAAAAAAAAGGAATATGAAATTCCTATGAACGTTTTACAGACTTAGATCGATCTCTCACCATGTTTTTTCCACCTATCTGCAACTTCACAGAGTCTACTTTAACCTTCTCGAAACTGAGTTCAGCCTCAGTGTACGGTGTAAGCTTGATCTTGTGCAGAAAGAACAGGTCATCGACGAACTTGTGCCAGCGGAAGAACATTGGGTCCCGGATGGCGGCAGCAGTATCGCCCATGACTCCCCCAGCCTTCAGGAAACAAACAAAACAGTTCCGGAAAGCCTTATTAGCTTCCGGTAAGATGCATCCAATTCAGGTACATGTATTTTGTTAAGTGCCTAATTTGGATAACATCGGGTTCATGTACTGCCAATAATAAGTCTGAAATGCATCCTAACGAGTTACAATATTGATCTTGAACTGTGATTGAATCCCTACTGCATTAATCTGAACACCAAAGTGATCACCTCTCATTGTGTGCACCAGGAAAGCACAGTAAACCAAGCTGGGGATCTGCGCACGCTAAATATTCAATAGTGTTAAAATCACCCAAGCTTACACCTGAACAAGTCTGTAGCCCAAATGCATCAACTCGCACGGATCACCCCCCCCCCGTGTCTCATGACGTACCTGATTGTAACGGAGGTCTGGATCAGTAATTCCTGCCAGGATGTCGTGACCGCGGTTGTGAATCCCAACGGATCCGTACAGGTGTGGATTGGGAGTGCTGACATTTGCCTCTATGGCTGCGCCAAGACCATCGATGTCTACGGCCACTTTACTGCCATCGGGCTGCGTAAGTATTCGACAGAACAGATTCTTACTCGATGTTAAAAGTCCTACACAATTACTCAGCTTGTATTATTGCAACTTTCGTAATCCAGTTCGTCATTTTGACGTCATTTCAGTTTTAGCCACGACCACTGTGCACATTAGGGCCGTTTTCCAACACTCGACATCGTCTCTGTCTCAGGCTTCAGAATTATTTTCTGCTTAAAAGCTGTAAACTCCACTATAAGTCCTTTAGTGCCGCAGGAACATCAAATACGATTCAAAGGAGCAACATATAGGTATTCCCAGCCATTTCAGCTAAAATACGTTCGATTTAAAACGAGGTCGATTTAAATTCGTTTTCAAAGGAATGTTCCTACATATGAGCATTTGAAAATCAGAGAAGTCATTTGTATTCTTTCAAACAAAAAGTATATTCAAATTCACATCGTATGACACAGAGTTCACTTAAAGTCGTCAAATAACTGGGAAAAAGGTTGATCAACATTCTATTTAGTCAATACGCGAGCTCCCACCTCATATGTGAATTCAAATCCGTTCCTGTGATTTCTCCTTTTGGCCTCGTATTTGTCAATCTACACACTGAAAGCTGACATCCCAAAGAAAACTCATTTAAACGTTGGATCTTGATAAAGCTCTTTGTCAGTGTGACTTGGCACAAAAACTATTGGCTCACGATCCTTACAAAGCAAGCATTGCTGGTAAGGAGAGGCTGATGAATTCTCACCAAAGCAATAACGCAGAAGAAGACCTGTAAACAAGTTACTCGGAACAAAAGTGAATGATTTTTCCCTTCTTGTTGTATCAGCTACAAGTTTGTTTTTATAACCTTCTGTTAAGACAATGATTGTTATTTCAATATTTGAATATTTTGAAATTGGAATCCACATTTGGGGCGAGTGACCCCTCTTTGACGAAATAATTTTTTTTAAATTAAGCAATACTAAATGAAAGAAGCGGGAATTTCACCGGAAACCTATAATTGTTCACATTAACCTTTCCCTCTTGGTTTCTAAATGTATTTACAGTGCACCTTACTGTTGACGATAAAAACACATGATGTGACCCTTCATCAACTGGCATTGGTTGCCAATATATTTTTTTGGCAAAGAGGTTTGCTTTTATTTGGGAGACATGAGTCATTTTTACTTTCACTCAAGTCGGGTCTTCCGATGAAGGACTCGAGATGAGTCGAGCCATTCACCCATCGGGGCTTGCGTCGAGTCGGATCGACGACAATTTTGACTCCAGTCGAGCCATTGACTCTAGTCGTTAAAACCCTATTTGAAAGTACTAATTGGAAAAAAAGTAGCAGAGATAAAAGTTGTCTTGATTGCCCATAAAGGAAATAGACCGACAAACTGAACTGAACGGTAAAGCCGAATTTGTGTATGCACAAGAAACAATATTGAATGATAAAATAGGGCAAAAACCCCAAAACAAACAGAATTGAAAACTCTGTGCGAACCCGAATGCAAGTTGAGAAAAATGAACCTGGATTTTGCCGTTGCACGGGCGATTTACAAAAGCGCGCCTCCTACAGTTTGCAAGGCGTTGACCAATTACAGTGCGTGAAATTCGTCGACCCAATGCGCATTTGGATAGTGTCGACAGATTTCGCACACTGTGATTGGTCAGCACGTCGCAAACTCTTACAGGCGCACTATTTTGAATCAACCGTATTGGCCGCTTACATATTCTAATATGTTAGGCCAACAGTCGAGGATTAATTTTTGGAGACCGTGCCTGAGACGGACCAAAAGCCGAGTGCTGAAAAAAACAGCAGGCCATTGAACCGGAAAACACCGCGGAACTTGAGTGTTCATCCGGTGCAAGCATGTAATCAGTGGTGGGTGTGCAGGCTCTTCTGAACCCGATATTGCGTTTGGATTTATCTTCTACATTACTAACCCTCATTTTGATTGTGTGCATTTTAAGTGTGGGTCAGTTATTTCCGTATGGGTTCGTCTTAACCTTCATTCGTAACCTTTATTTCACTTTTTTTGTGATATTGCTCACTCAAAATTTTGTTTTGCAACGCCATTTTAGATGTTTTCTACAATTTGCACTCATACAAAATGCAGATGAGCTCAGCAAAACTGGGCCGAGAGGTTGTCTATAACCACTGTAAAATATTTATTGATAAGTAATGGAATATAAAATACCTTTTTTTCTCGAACAAATCAAATTACCAACAGATTGATTTAAAGAGAGATAGCTAAAGGGTTGAAGGAAATCAAATATCCTTTACCTGTGCTTCAAACAAAGGCATTCATGGCGGAAAACAATATGACCCGAAAGTCCCGTGTATTTAAATCACGGACATTGTATTAGCTGTGTCCCTGAAACCATCATCCCTCGTTCGATCCAGGTTATATTTCCTGACCTCAAAACAATGTTCACATTGGTTACACACAGCCTCCTCACCACCCACCTTTTCAAACTTCCCGGTATTGATGGCGTCTAGGAGGCGGTTCCGGTGGTACTCCTGTTGAATGATCAGCGTGGGGTCAGAAGGATCGCGCCAATTGTCGGCGAGAATCATCCCTGCCGGCCGGGCAGCGAACTGATAGGTCCCATAATAGTCTGTCAACTGGGGGTTGTAGCCTTCCTGCAGAACACCAAAAGAGCTTCATGTCTTCATGTATTACACAAACCTGGCTCATCCGTTTCACGTTTCTTAGTAACCTGATTAGGCCAAAAAAATTCTCCAGTTTCTGGTCAGCGCGCGCGTTGCCTTAGACCTGCGCATTGACAAGATAAAAAAATTTTCATTTGGTACAAAACGATATCATAAAGCTGCCAAACTTGCTTAATCGACTGCAATCCTGCTACTGCGTTATTTTAACGTGTTGTTGATGGGGTACGGTTGAGTTATTATGTACAGTAAAGTAGTCCCTCTGGTTCGCCATACATTTAGTTGGGCAATCTTTTTCAAATGACGATTTCTGTATTATACATTTACATCTAGGAACCAGACAAACGAGGTGGTCTTATGTCCTGTGTACATTTACAAGCTGAAAATGCTTATAAACAGTATAAGGTGTGGGGGTAATCTATTTTAGTGTTGGCAGCGGCCGGGATTACGGTACGTGCGCATGTAATCGCGATGGACATCGCACGTTACACGTGCATTATTTCCAGAAATTTCCGCACCACTTTTGGGCCAGCTCCTGACCAGAAACCGGAGACATTTTTGGCCTTAAACATTAATTTACTGGGAAGAATAAGACCTTTTACCGCAATAGGGAGGTGCCAGTTGCAGAAGGGTTCCACTCTCGTGAGACCTACAGCTATTCTCTCGGCATCGTAGCGGGCTAACATCTGCTGGTGCATGTAGTAGAAGAGCTCCCCCTGTCGGTCCTTGGTCTTTCCCTCGATGCCTGTCCATGGGTAGGACTGGATTTAAAAGACATTCGTTCAAGAGCAGGCCTGAGTTGACTTGATCCAAGGTCAATCGAAAAGAGCAGAGTCAAGCAGAACAAAGTAGTTTATAAGTAAGCCAGAGTTGTATACATTTTTTGAACTTCTGGCCTATTTTAACAAGCATACAGATTAAGCAACCTTTCCAAGCCGTCCAGAAAATACCTACCCACAAAATGATGACCTTTGAAGTGTAAAAGCTTGTCCCAGTAGATATAAACACAGAGCAAGGACACAGAGGCAATGTTATCGCACTGTATGTTCATAATGTCTCACCACCTTCCTGGCTAGTACACATTGTCAACACCCTACCCCCCCTTCCGTGACTACGTTCTTTTTTATTGCAAACCCCTTGTTGTAGGGGTCAATTATTTTCAGCATTTTTATCTCGTGTAAGTGAGGATTATTGTTAAGGTAAGATCAATGGCATTGAAATCCCTTCATAGAACTATAATGTTGTTAGTGGAAATACTTTTAAAATAATTTTAATGATGTTTTTCCCCGCTTATTAGTAAATAGTTCTTTATTTAGACTCGCTCCTGGGGCGATTTGACAGCCGAACGCAACTCATACGTGTGGTATGTTAACGTTGTCGAATTTATGTCTGTGAAAGTCAAACGCATGCACGGATCGTGTATGCAACGCACCCAAAAACGTACAAATGGAAAGACGTTTTTAGACTACAAAACGTTTTAAGAAAGCTGTGTTGGTATCACCTGATGGTGGGATGTACACGACAAAGAGTCTGATCTGGTAGATCTTTTAGGGCGGATAAAATGCCATAAAGAAGTTCGATGTCTTTCCTATAAATTTCTTGTTTACAGTGACATGAGACGTGTGGCGATGGTTTTTCGTGGGGGCCTGCACTTTTCGCCGAATTATCTGTTTCGTCATTTCTGATCAGGCTCGAAGTCCGTCTATTTTGCGTTATGGATCCGGGTTATTAGCTGTCCACCATGTGTCAGTAACTCAAATAAGACTTGAGTTTCTATATTATGATAAGCACTATGTACATCCAGTCAGTTCATCGGTCTTATGTCTTACTAACGGAGTTGTGCATACAGCTTTTCTTATAGTTTTTGGCGGATGCCACCTTTCCAACCTTTCTCGGTTTTGGCGTTTAGGAGCCGTGGGGATGTTGAGGTTTACTTCGTTGAAGAATCAAGAATCAGTTCCAAGATGGGTGGGGTCAACCCCCCTTGCTCATTCCCTCATTTGGGGGGAATACGTCTAACACGTCGGCAACGACTACATTGTGAAGTTTACCAAAACCCCGTTCTGCACAATATAGGATGTATCATGAGATTGTCGAGACATATTTTAAGCTCCGATAATCTGGCTCTAATGTTAGTGCAACAGCCAGCTAGTTAGCTAATGTAAGCGCAAAAAGTTTGGAAGAGACAGTTTGTGAAATGAATCCAGTTCCAGTTTGTGGGGCCATCAAGTCCCGTATTTGCGAGGAGGGTCATCAAACCCTCGCCGTTTCGTCTCAAGCCCGGCCATTCTTATTGGACGTGGCCTTCGTCTCCGTTGCAGCTCATGTTTGCACCGTCAAGGACTGAATTGTCGGAGTCCAGCATTCTTTGCTGTGGTGCCCGCCAAGCTCTCGCTCGTAAGATCATCTTGTTCATACAGGGTCTTTCTTGATTCTTTATCCTGATCATTGTAAACTAGTTCCAATCAGCATTTTCTTTGTTATCCAAATTTTTGACAAGCTAAGTGTAACATTATCATTAACTCCTGTTAATTTCTTCCTCAGTGTGAACTTGTTTGATTTCTTTGTTGTATCGGAGAAAATTCAAGCTTTAGAATAATTACTATTCTTAATAGTTTGGAGTTTTTCGGATCATAACTACAACGTGAATAAGCTACGCCTAGAGATTTGTTGCTTCGTCCGTAACTTGCGTATGATAGACCCTCTAATGATCGAACTCAGTCAATTATGTAACTTGTGTTAGATTAGAGCTACGCCAATAGTATTCGACTGAAGTTCTTGAGGAAAAAGCACGACTATCAAACGACTTCTCATCCATCTCCGATAACCCGGATCTAGGAGAGCCAGTCCATGTTTTGATACCTTTTTGGTAATGTAATGATGGGGGTTGGTTGACGGGGTGTTGTCAGAACCAAATGGTTGTACTGGGCAAGTCCCAGAAGGGGGCGATGTGATGTACCTCTGCAGGGAACTCCTCAATCAAATTGTGATATGATCACTCCAGTTAAGCTGCTTCAGTTGTTTGTCTCAGCCGTGTGTCATTGACAAATTTAAATACAGGAAAAGAGAAACCTGGGAATACAACAGAAGGCAATGAAACCAGTAAATTATTGTTGCGTATTTCTGTGAAAACCATCATCATGTGCAGCTTGAGAAAAAAATTACAATTCAACTTGAATGAACTTGAAGACAAAAAGTGGTCAAACACATTGACAGCAATGGTCAGAAGCTCATATCTGCGGGTTTACCTCAGAGGGCCTATATTCAAAGTATATATACACAACACTCAATTCGATTATTCCCAAGACTGCCTCCTAGACGCTATAAAATGTATTAACAATGCCATTGTTCACGGCGTTGTCAAAAATACAACGCGCGTGCTGTTCACTTCCATGGCCGTTTTCCAATACTCAACTTCGTTTCCGCGGGCTTTGTTCCCAAAACCAATCCCCGATTGTGGGCCTGAAACGTTTAAATTACATTGGATTACTGTAATTTTTGGCTTTCTTGCATCGTATTTGATGTTCTGTGGCACTATTAGACTGATTACTGCGCTTACAGCTTCAAAGTCAGCTAGTAAATAAACAGTTGAAGCCTCCGACGGCCCGAATTGAGTATTGGAAACGGCCCTAGTGTGTGGATTGATGAAAAGTCTGTTCCGGACCATTGTGTCCGCAGGGCCCATTATGTCCGCAAACTTTTTCAGGCCCCTTATGTCCACCCCATTGTGTCCGCGGGCCCATTATGTTCGCCCCATTGTGTCCGCAGGCCCATTATGTCCACCCCATTGTGTCCGCAGGCCCAATATGTCCGCCCCATTGTGTCCGCAGGCCCATTATGTCCGCTCCTTTGTGTCCGCAGGCCCATTATGTCTGCAGTCCCATTATGTCCGCCCCATTGTGTCCGCAGGCCCGTTATGTACGTCCCATTGTGTCCGAAGGCCCATTCTTTCTGCAACATGTCTTATCCTTTATAATAACATGGAACATACCGGTTCTAATCTATGAATGATTCATTTTTCTGTCTGAATATTCACGATTTCAGGGGATGACAGTGAAGGGCCAGTCACACAAGTGAAACTTATAATCATTTTTGCAAACTTCGTCAGTCTTTCGTATACATTTGTTTGGTGTTCAAAAAAGAAGCGGGCAGTATTTGCATTGTGCACACTTAGAGGGATCATCATAGAAATATTTCAATAAAACCCTTGAAATTGCACCTTAGGGTTTCAATCGAACTAGTGGAAATGTTTTGGCAATTTAAACACATATTTTTTATTTTTTAAAGTTTTAATGCAATGTGCACATTCACAAGGAAACCTGTGATTGCACTGAAGGCAATCTCAATGTTGCAAATGCTCGGTCAATTTTATATATTTTTTATTGTCTAACCTGAGCCTCTCCGGTTCTTATCCGGTTCTTATTAGAACCATACAGACTCAAAAAGAGATATTGCATGGTGCTTACCGCAAGCTTTCCATCTTAACTCATTCAACTCAAAAAGGATGTCAAACAGTCTTCATACATCAAAGAAGAGTGCAGAGATACACAAAAAGTGCTTCCAAGTAAACCTCATTTCATGGATCCTTTATTTAAAAGGAGACCCTTAGCTGACTAATAACGCTGAGGTGAACCAATTTATGTTCAAACATTTTAAGAGTAATATGTTAACCGACACATTTTATTGAGACTGAGAACTGAATAAAACAAGGCTAATAGCAACGGAAAACTTAGGTGCAAATAATATTTGTGAGTGCACAAGAACATTTTTGAAAATGAACAAATACGTAAAGAGTACACATCATACCAGAAAATGAAAAACAATAAACCCCAGAATATGAACACAAACTGCAATCGAATCAGACTGAATTTTCATGACATCGGTTATCAGCTTTTCAAACAAACAAACTCTAGAATCTGTGTTGACTATAAATAACAGATGTAATAGGTTTCAGTTTTGCAAATTGAACCATTTTTCTTTATAACAACACGAAAACATTGAAATCAGGAATGTTAGTTATTTTTACTTTTCAAACCTCTCTAGCTCAGGACAACCAGACGCTAAAACCCACGAATACTTCCTTTCCCTGCCTTCGTTTCGGATTTACAATTATGAAATTTTAGTTTAAATATCAGTACTACTTCATAAGTCAACACTTTCAATATTAAGAACATTCACTAACCAGACAGGTTCGAATGAGACTAAAACCAGCAATAATTTACGGCCAATAATAAGGGAAAATGGTGGTGCAAATGACATTTTTGATCCCAAAGAATAGTTCTGAAGTTAAGAATTCATCAAGTATAAAATGTACTCAAAATGAAAGTACAGGAGGCAGGTTTCGCAGGGGAATGCACTTGGTTTGAAAATTTTCCTCAGGCAGTGGCCCTGTGACTGTGCACGTAGGCAACTGTCTAGAAACTTTCCATAGCCACCGCATGATAGACTTGCGAGCCAATATCCGCTCGCAAGAAAGTAAAGGCCTGTTGAAATAGTCATAAGTGAGCTCCCTACAGTGACAATTGTGAAAGGTGTTTTTCTGAGAAAAAAAAAACCTCCCCGACAAAAGAGAATGAAACCGGTAGCACCGAACCAGGAAAGAAGTTGACATGAAGATCCGGGTCTGGCGTCAAGGCTTATACATCTGAATAAGGCCGCTTTTTTAACACGAGACACGGTAAAGTGCATTTTGAGGTCACGTTCCCAACATCCTTTATTACCTCCAATACCCCCAGGGTGTCTGCTGGGAAAACTTTCCTGC